CATAAATCTTTAATATCTATATTCTTATAGTATAGACCATATAATAAATAATGGTACACTCTTGTTCACTATTCTGAAGACCTGAAAAAGCTTTTTTCACACCTTTTGTTTCTATATAACTATGGTCAGCAAGAAAATATCTAGGATTCTATTGATTTGCAAACCATCAAACTATTATCAAAACCTCTGCAATGGTGTTACTATATTCATTACTCATGAAAAAATAAGCTCTGATATTCAGCAACTATACATGTTATGAACATACAAAGTAAACAGATGATAATTATATCTGTTTGTTTTGTGGGTTGAATCAATTAGTGTTAGCTATCTGTACTGCTTGAGATTATTAATTTAATTGAGATACACAAAAACAAGACTCTAAGTAATTGGCTAGTAATTTTAAAATGTTCAACTTTATATTCTTGTTTTTTAAGAAAACTGATCACTTCACAAATATCTAATTCATGCTTTGAATTGCCAATAAAATATTTATTAAGGGCTCTACGAACTTTAAGCTTTATATTTGAAACTTTCTTATGTTTTAATTCTTTTATACTTTCTCCAGACCTAGTTTATCTGTTGCATATTCTTTTACCACATTTGCTATTTCAGGTGGCTGATAATTCTTAACAGCTTCTAGTTTAACTAATATTCAAACAACTTGCAAATGCTTTAATTTTTCACTGTTCTTCAAAGAATAGGTATGATCAAGTGAATTGTTAAACTGTTCAACTTGAACTTTTTGCTTCAAATAATATTGTGAAATTTTTATCTTTGCAGAACACAAGCCTGCAAGCTGAACTTTAGTTTTCTTATATTTTTCTGGAGCACATCCTCTTTTTGTGAACTCAATAGACTAATTTTTGCAAAGCAACAAGTAAAAGTCTTCTATGAATCACTATTAACTAAATTTTTGTAATTAAATATGGTCTATATATTTGAAACTAATGATCACCAGTCATCATTGAATTCTTGCAAAAAAATTTCAAATAGTTCTCCAACATTAAAAAGGAGAAGACAAAATTAAAGTTTCAAAGACAGGTGTGATAACAGGATTCATATTTAAAAAATATTTTTTTAAATAAAAAAAAGTATATAGCATATTTATATTTTTTGAAAAAAAAAATGTCAATTTTTTTTTAAAAAAAATTTACCAATATATCAAAAAAAAATTATATATGTAAACGTCTTGATAAAAAGCCTTCTATATGATAATTGCTTGTATATAGTTAAAAAAAAAAAAAGTGTACTTGATAAGAAGCTTTTGCGAGAACTGTAATTTTTTTAAAAACCTTACTAAAACTTTTCAACTTTTGTTCTTGTTATTTGTTCTGCTATGTATTGTTATCTTGCATATTGGCGAATGTATATAAATAAAAATTGTTTATATACATACAATACATACCATGTACAATTGTACGAGAACAAATATTTACTTAATGGTCGACCATCTGAACATTATGTTGAAGCCTATTTTATCTGTATTATCACGTGATCGAACCTGGTTTTAGCCATCCCCCATTTTAGAAATGAAAAAGTTAAAAAGTTAATCCCGACCAAAATTATATAATGCAGGCCCAATCTGTGAAAATTTGGTGTGGCAGCTAGGATCAATATAAAAAGGCAAGTTGAAACCTGAATTAGAAGATTTAATAGAAGATCTACAAACAAATCTCGAATATGGTAGTTAGATAAAAGATCCACAAAAGATCTAGCTGCCGCACCAATTTTTCACGGATGATTCTCGATTTTTATTGGCTAACGGCCGTGATCTACAAAATTTTGGCCCGCATTACATAATCGTTTACATAATTTTTGGCCGGAATTAACTTTTTAACTTTTTTTATTCCCAAAATGGAAATTTTTAGAGAAATAGGCCCGCACAATAGTAAAATTAGCCCAGGAATATTTTTCACTTAATGTGCGGCTGTGGTTTCATTAGTAAAATTTTGAGTAACTTGGGTCAAAATTTTTGATCGTCGCTCTTAGCCAATCAAAATCTAGAGATTGTCGCCGTTAGCCAATCAAAATCGAGAATCATCCGTGAAAAATTGGTGCGGCAGCTAAAATCTCGAATATGGTAGTTAGATAGAAGATCCACAGGCAAATCTCGAATATGGTAGTTAGATAGAAGGTTCACAGGCCAATCTCGAATATGGTAGTTAGATAGAAGATCCACAGGCAAATCTCGAATATGGTAGTTAGATAGAAGATCCACAGGCAAATCTCGAATATGGGGGCTGGCTAAAGCCAGGCACATCACGGGGTTACCTGATATATAACCCGGATCAGCCCGAAAAATATAAAAAATGGTTATCTAAACCGGTCTTGGTTTACAAGAAAAGTGTTGGAAATGCGATTTTACTATATAAACTAAATTTAACCCAACACTAATATTAATTAAAAAATCGGAAAAACCGGGTAATCTCGTGACGTTGAGGTGACCAGTGTACTATGTAGATCAAATACATGTATAGTCCCATATGAATAATTTTGTGTGTAACAATCGCGAAAATCTATAGTAAAATACTGAAAAGTTTTAAATTAACAAAAAAATCGCATCATTTTTTAAAAATATAGATCTTGTTGAGTAACTGAACAAAATTTTTAAACGAATTAATATGTAAGTTATGGAAGAGATACAATCTAAAGTCATATAGATATCTATATGACTTAATTTGTATCTCTTCCATAACTTACATATTAATTCGTTTAAATATTTTGTTCAATTACTCAACAAGATCTACATTTTAAAAAAATGATGCGATTTTTTTGTTAATTTAAAACTTTTCAGTATTTTACTATAGATTTTCGCGATTGTTACACACAAAATTATTCATATGGGACTATACATATATTCATATATTTGATCTACATAGTCCCCATCGTGACGTACCTGGCTTTAGCCATCCCCGAATATGGTTGTTAGATAGAAGATCCACGGGCAAATCTCGAATACAGTAGTTAGTGGGTAATTATAGATAGAAATAAATATAATAAAACTCTTAAATAAATAATAACTAAAGTTGTATATGTGACTAAATAAATTCTTATCAAGATGTAAAATTGTTAGGAGCAACTCCTGAAATCGTCCTTGATCTATACAGTTAATAAGAACGTTTTAGTCAAAGAGACACCTTTGACAAGAAAAAACCACTTTATTATTAAAGATCTATTCTCTATAGATACGTTACATTACACAAATCAGACAACCTTAATTCTATACTTATGTAGGATAAAAGAAAACAATTTTGGTTAGAATTGGTTATGTGATTATGATTATAGTAATCATAGCTTTTCATCAGTAGGGATGGGGAAGTTTGGTTTGGTTCGGTTTGGTTTAATTCAAATTTGATTGATGCATGATCTGCATAAGTAAGAATTTATATTAGATCGGACCAAATTTCCCCATCCCTATTCATCAGTCACTATTGCTCGATTTACAGCAAAACAACTCTCGTTTAGATTTTTTCTTCTTTCTAAAAACTATAAAGTGATTTCGTTTTATTCCCTCTACAAAATAAGCACTTAAGCCTCTCGTTTCATACTTAATTACCTCTTATTACTTATAATCGTTCCATTATTAAGGGGAGGGACAAAAATCAGGTGATTTCAAGTTACTCGAGGCTATACCACCCACCCACAACTGATTCAAATATTAGCCAATTTTAAATTTAGCTACAAAATATAGGACCTGATCGAATCGCAAACTCCCACCCTAAAAAATCAGGTGATTTCTGTCCCTCCCTTAAATAATAGTTATATCCTGGGTAGTTTGGTATAAACGAAAATGAAAATTCCGCTTATACACCTAGTACCCTGCGATCTTGATATAGTGACCAGGGTATAACTCAAGTTTATAAACTCCGTGTTTCGAAGCGAGCTTTGACAGTATTTCATAATTCAAATTCATAATCTTTCATGTCGTCAGTTTCTTCGATGACCTCTTAAACTCCCATTCAATTTCTATAGTGATTCCTAAACTGTTTGATAGTTTATATTTCTTTCAATTCTATGTCGATAACCGATTAAAAAAAACATCCATTTCACTTTATTTTATTTCAGTTGATGTTTGGCAGTAAACGAAGATTGATTTATTAGATTTGAAAATGAATGAATATTTATCTCGTTCCTAATTAATTTCGATAACGAATAAGGCCGTTCACACCATCTATTTCATTTTATTTCTTGCCTTCAAAAATTCAAGCATTATATTCGCTGGCCTTATTTCTATGTACAAGTATTCTCAACATATGCCTCTGTAACTCACAATACTTTTATTATAATCTCGGTCTCTTAAGTTGGATTAGAATCTGTCACCAACGCATGTGGCATGTGTATATTATGTATATCCTTTCCCAAATTTTTTTTTTTTTTTGCTGTCGTCCCACAATTATGCGTCCAAAATCGAAACCTTTAATACACCCGAATTATAACTTTGGCACCACTTTACTCGTCCATGAAGTGTCCTTCGTTACGTTTCGCACAAAATATATAGTAATCTATCTATATTTCTTATTTCAGTAATCCTGTAGGGCGGAAAATGGGTGTACTGTACACAAAAGTGCCAGATCCAAGTTTGGCAGGAAGAAAAACATACACTGTCGATCAACTTAGTCCTTAAGTAACATTGATTGAGATGACCCTCGCGATAATAACCTTAGCATGATTATCGTCGTGCGTCAGATCAATCTATCAAAATTCCAACAAGTTAGCCCAAATCAGCGTTAGGCTAATGCTATCTATAATTTTAGTAAAATTTTTTGGCACTAAGTTAAACATAAGTATATCTATTTTTTTTATATATTTTATTTTTGCTAAATTTCTAAACATTTCATTTTACTTTTGCAAAATTTCCGTTTCTTGTTTTCGCGAAGATATCTCGTAGATATCTAGTTATATGATTTTGTGGTGATCGATGCAAAAATTTTTAAATAATTTTGGCAAAAAAACATTAATACCCAAAATTAATTACAAATAAGGCAAAATTAAACCTAGTACTAAGAACGAAGGGAATGTCTGTGCTTGTGAAATAGTTTAAGCGCAACAGCTAGAAGCGTGAAAACTAATGTGAGTATAAGAACTATTATTTCAGTGTTAGGAGGAGAGGTGAGAGACATACGCGAATTTTTTACCCAAAGAAGTGCACCTATATACTCTGGACCAGTTTTTACATTATTTATATTTACATTAGCGACAAATTTATACCAGTCAGGAATAAATTCAGCGTAAAATGCCCAAGGTCCATATAAGGTAGTTGTAGTTGTACTATTATATGTACCGTCTACCTTTGTTGCAAATTTATTATCATTATCAAGATCTATTACATACATCATTGTGCTAGCAAGCTTAACCATAACATCCTTGCTAACATTTAATTTATCTTTTCTCTGCCATGCCCGATACATACCCCAAATATCATAAAGAGCATGAATACCAATTTTTTCTGTAGAATTAGTTGCCTCGGAATAACTCCATGTATATACGTTATGATTATTCTTAGACTTAACTGGGATAAAATTGCTGACCATCCAATCAATAGAAACTTGTATAATATTAAAATATTTATTAACCCGAGATTCATCATCACCGATAATTTCATGACATTCTGCCATTCTTAAAAATCCATTTGTCATCATTTGTTGTCGGTTCCAAGGCATTGGAGAATTTGCAGTCATTTCACCAAGATTCGTCCATGCAGAAGAGTTTGGATTATAAATTCTCGAATCATTTTCACGAATGAAATATTTTAAATAATAGGTATCAATAGTCTTGTCCATTTCAGTTACATAAGTCAGCGCACGCTCTTTATATGTTGTACCATATTTATAAGTATCATTGCCTGTAACACTTTCGTTCCAGAGGCAAGGAGTTTTAAGGATATGGTAAGCCGTGTATGCTATATGCCCAATTGTATTAAGACCTTCAGAACCTGCGTAACCAGCAAGGGATTCATTATCAGCCTTTGTACACCAGACAAGCTCTCTTTGTCCAGTCCACATAATTCGACCATTTATAGGATCATTTCGGAGTGACAAAAAAGTATCAGAATAATTTATCATTCTATCAAGTATTTGAGGGTTTTTGGTAACTTCATACATTAAGCCTAAAGCCTCTACGTCTTGACCAGCTTGCCCCTCCGCTATTTCATTATTCAGCGCAGTTGTGGGTATTCTAGAAGGGTTTTCTATAAAACTAATAAACGAATTAATTTCTTGTTGGGTGACGGGACCTGAGCTATCGAATGACATAGTCTTACTATTAGGAGGTATTAGTGGTGGTCTGAGTTGACATGTCTGTGCATATACATTATGGTAAGAATCAAATAAAATAAGAAATAATAAAATTATTATATAATTCATTTTTCCGAGATTATAATGTTTTTGAGAGAATTTTCAGACTTTCAAGTGATAAATTTAAAGCTATTGATATTTTAAACCGTAAATAAATATCAATTTTGACATGGTAATCTTTTCTATCAAATGAATAGAGTGTTAGGCAAAATCAAGTAAATTTAAGCTTGGCATGTTTGAGAAATTAATATCTCAAGAATTATTGGGCCAATGTTGATATTACATTATTAGAATCAGACAAATCTGAAAGAATCATGTTTATCGGTAATCAACTTAGATTTTTAATGACAAGTTTTAAAATTTTCATTTAATTTTGTTAGTACTAATTGTTGATTTCTATTATTTTTATTTATTTAATTTTTTTTTTTTAAGGATGAAAGCTCGGTAAAGATTTTCTTAACAGTGTTATTGTGTAATTTTACACGGAGTAAATGAAACTACCCCGGATCGCCAGAAAAATTACTATATAGTTTTTACGTTCACGTGATGATCTACGAAAATAACCAATAACATATAACGGATGTAACGTTAAATACGAACGTTTTTGTCAAAAATCGCTTATAACAAAATCTGCATAAAAATCACCTGCGCATTAACAAAAAGTTTTCCTTGACCGATTTTGTTATTAGAAAAATCCTAACCCTAATATGGTCCCTAACAGTGTTGTTATTTGACTAAGTCCATATTTTTTTTAGCAAATTTGGCATAATCCAACTACATATGCCCAATTAAAGAATTACTATGTCCATATTTTTCCATATTTTTTAATTAATCAAAATTACAATACTGGACCATAACCCTAACATTAACGAAGCTAAAGAATTTTTGTGTGATATTATGTGACCACGGAATTTTTCTGGCGCATTTAGGAAGATGGAAATGATTATAACCGGCTATAGCCGGCTATAGCCGTAGCCGATATTAGCCGACCGGCTAGCCGATACCAAAATTTTAATTTCCTGGTTTATGAGAATAATAATCATTGCATAATTCAGTAT